GGAGTCCTTCCCATTTATCAAGGAATTTCTCAAGCTGAGGCTCGCCAGACCCGGCAGCTCTGCCGAGGGATAGGCGAAGAAGTTCATTCGTACGGATAGACTGGCTCCCGACTTCATCGGGACGAAGGTACTCAATGAGACAGAACAGGATCTGGCGGCTTTTCAGCCTCGTCCCCCTTTTTACCTGAGCCTCTTCAGTCAGCCTGCTGATCTTGGCAACTATAGGTTTCGATGTGATGCACTTTCTCAGTGCAGCATTGAACCTATTGTCAAGGATCGGGTAGAGGCACTCCTCATCAAGTTCCTCTATTGCGCTGGCGTTCTCGACACTCATGACCCAAGACATGGCATATGGCGAGTCATAGCTGAATGCGTTGCTCACGATTTCTCTCGTGGAAATGATCCAGTCTCGCAACTCATGCGGTGCGGGCTCTTTTTCGAGCTCTATGTTGGCGCACTTGTTCGCCTCAGATGGCAACGAAGTTAAGGGCGGTCGAGTAGCCTGCCCAAAAACATGGGGAGGTAAAACGCCGTCTCTGCCAATGGATATGGCACACAGAGAGCAACTCCCGGACGATGGCGGGCAGCACGCGGCACATAGAGAAGTGCGGCACAACGAACAAGTTTGGAAGCATGGAGGTGTCCCGGGGATGCTGGTCTTGACATTTATGTTGCACCGAGGGCAGACCCTCTCCTCAGCGGAAGATCGGCGAATATCGGGAGCTCCAACACCGCCGACGCCACCGACGCCATGCACACCCATACCGAGTCCTGGTGGAAGAGAAAAACCAGTTGGCCCGCCAGAGTTATCCTGTGCTCCGTGGTGAGGCTGTGGATTCTGCTGATTTGTCACAGCAGCGTCAGGTCCGTATCTCCCGCGAATGACTCCCTGAGACGTTCCATGCTCAACCTGACCGGTGAAAATCCCCCCTGTAGGGGAACATCCGGGGTACGTGTTGATGGTCCCCCTCGGAACTGCTCGTCCGACTACGGGCGAAGACATTGCCCTTGGTGGCATTGGCCCGGCAGCTCCGGCGTGGGAACAGAAACCAGAATTCCCTTGGTGCGGTTCAGGACTCCGATGTGACGGATCTCCACGTGATGGCCCGGATCCAGGATCAGGAGCAGTGCCATCCCGCTGATTATGATCAGGAATGCAATCAGGTCCTCCAGGCCCCGCACTGGGGCCGCGATGCTTAGTTTTCCCGTCGGGATCAGCTCTCAGACAACCGAGGCAAATAGGTCGAACACTCGACCCAAAACGACGCACATCGTCAGGCGAAGCGATGTGTTGATCGCAGTACTCGTCCTTGCATATGAGACACCTCACAAGTCCGTGTCTCCCCCCTCTTCCTCTGCATGCGCGGCATCTAGGAAACTGATCGCTGCACTTGAAACACGAGTTACAGTCATGGTCAAAGCAGTCTTCGCAGACTGACTTGCCGCAGCTTCGGCATGGATAGCGAGGTTCCCGATGCTGTGGATGCCCGGGCTCCTCATGAGCACACCTGGCCCGGTTATCAGGGGCAGCGCCGGCAGCCCGAGCAATGGCCCTCGTTCTAGAGGGATCCCTGCCGAAGATGGGGGCTGATGGTGATGGTGGGGGTGGCCCCGAAAAAGGTGGAGGTGGAGGAGGCCTCGCCGAGCTGACGGTGCGAGCATCACGAGGAGGAGAACCTCTAGGAGCCCTTCCCTGGGTTAAGGGATCAGTGTCTCCAGATTTCTCCCATGATCCCGTTCCGGCGGTCGAACCAGCGCCAACACTTGAGGATCCGCAGGCAGCAAGAGGTTGCTCCCTCAATTCAGCGATCTGCATGTTGATCTCATTGACCCTCAGCACAAGCTTCATAAACTGCTCTTGCATGTCCCTCGGATTGGGGCCTAAGCTTTTGTCATGAAGGTCCTTGACGCATCTAGCAATGCGGGACAATTGAAGCTTGAATTCTTCCTGTTTCTGTGAGTTCTCATTGAGGGCTCCGGATACCCTATCACTGAACTGCTTCAGGTCGGTCGCAGGAACGAGATGCTGGATATACGTCTCGACGTTCCCACGGATGGTTCTTTCTCTTGAGATGGTTCCCTCAATGTCGATGACACTGCGAGAGTTCGCCTCAACTTCGTCTTTGATTTTCCGAACCTCAGCCTCAAGGGCCCCGATCTCAGAAAACCTAAGAAGCTGGACCTTGACGTTCTCAAGTGATTCGGCCTGCTCGCGAAGTTCAGCAGCGGATATGACGATCGAGTCAGATCTCTCATCATACATCTTGAAACGCTCATTCATCTCCTTCTCGCTTCGGGCGACCCACTCGTGGAAATCACGGAACTTAGCCTCGTGTTTTGAGAGAGTTCCGGCAACGGCAGAGAAAGATGATTCAACCTTCTTCTCGAAGGCGTCAACACGGTTATTGATCTTCTTGATCTCACCGACGCAAGCGTTGATATCATCCCTACATGAACGAATCTCAGCTCTGCATCCCTGGATTTCGGCCTTGCACCCCTTGACCTCGTTGTGGATCGCGAGAAGCAGTCGTTGAAGCTCAGATGCAACAGGATGGCCGCCACTTGTGGAAGCAGACGGAGCAGGACGACTATCAGCGTCATGATCTCCGCGACTATTCTCTTCCCTGTCGGGAGTGCAGCCCGGAGTTCCGATTTGAAAGAATGCGGGGACAACGGAGTCGTTGACCGGTTGATTCGAAGGAAGCCCTCCATATCCAGGGGCAACAGTGCTAAGTCCAGGTCTCCGGTTTCTAGGCGTAGAGTTAATCCCGTCATCAGTCTCCTTCTCAGACATCGGGGCATTGGAGCTGAGCCCAGACCCCGCAGAGTGTATAGGAACGTCAATAGGATCGTGATGAGCTGGGGGATTAGATCGCAGTCGTAGAGCAGCTTCACGTCTCTCAATGATGATGATCCGCGAAGTTGAGCTTGATCTGGATTAGGTTGAGTGAGATCAAGCCTTTGAGCAACGTCACCATTGAGTGGCTTAGGGGAAAGTACTTTGGCAACGCGGCTCGGCGGGAGCGATGTAGTTCGTCTCTCTGGTGTGACCTCGGCCTCATCGATTACATCAAGGATCCCAGGAATGGTTTCATCATCTTCATTTCCTCTCCTGGGTGGCTGATGGAAGGGGATGTCGAGGAGGTCAAATGGAGTAGAGCCAATACCAGGTGTATCCTGCTCGGATCCATCGCTGGTACGGTGGCTGGACTGCTCCTCGAGGTCGATGACGTCGGGGGCGGACTCTTTTCGAGTCTGACGCCGATTGAACGCCGCGAAGAGACCGGCATGGCTTCTTGACGAAGAGGAGGAAGGATTTGGGCCTGCTGTTTCGCGGCCCGCATCCGATCGACTAGTACCTGATGTCCGATTTGGCGGATTTGAGCCCGCGTTGTAGCGGTTCGCATCCCGACCTCGGGTACCTGAGGAAAGCGGTGGATTCGGACCAGCGTTGTAGCGGTCCGCATTCCGGTCGCGGGTACCTGACAGGTGAGATGATACTGCATCAGGGATGAAGTCCATATCCGCCGGACTGGGGTGATCGTGAATGATGTCAATGTCGGATGAACCTGAGACGGGAGGAGGGCCAGCTATTTGCGGCCAATCCTCAATCGCCCGTTTGCCCACCTCGGGTTGGGCCGAACCTGCAACATGAGAAGGGGAGAAATCTTCAATGGGGTCATTTTCTCCATCATGAGGAAAACCCTGAGTAGGCTCATGCGTAGGCAGGGCATCAAAAGATCTGTCAATTCGGGAAGGCTGAGACCTCCAATCAGCATCAAAAAGGGATTGAAAATCCAGATTCCCAACCGAAACGGGGGCACCCGAGTTAAAGTCGAGCCGACCGAAATCAGGCGGTGTAGCCTGCGATCCACTGCCGAGGAGTTGGTCAAACTGATCCCATGTAAGGGACCATGATTGAGCCGGCTCCGGATGAGCAGCATGATGGACAGCCCGGTCCTCGATCTGGAGCGCCACGAACGGAACAGTAGGCGAAATCGATGAGGGCACCTGATTTGGAGGAACCTCAGCCTCTTCTAGAGGGGGTCCGTCCTCGATCTGGAGCACTGCCGCCGGGATAGGGGCCTCCGCATCCTCATCAAACACAACCTGAGAAAGGATCCAATCGTCCGTGATCACCCCGGGATTGGGCTCTGCGCCCACCATCGGGGGAATGGGCCACAGCCGGCTGTCTAAGCCGGGGGCAGCAGGCGCGGCGTTGCCGCGAAGGGCGTTGGCCTCGTCGTCCACGAAGCCCGGCCCACGATGAGAAGCTCCGGGGGACGCCATTGCTCGTACAAGTAGGCGATGGGAGCAGGTAGCGGGTCACGTCCCGCAACCGGATCACCAGCCCCAGCTTCTAGCTGGTACGGCTGATAACCTGCGGTTTTGGGCGAACACGAAGTAGCCCAGGGAATCAAAGAGGTACACGTAATCCACGAAGTACCAAAAGAACCCAGTCTCAACGCACAATGGAGAAGGTGCTGATGACCAGGTTGTGGGAGTGACAGTTGAAGAAGATCAGGTTTGGGGAGGTTAGAAATGGGATTGCAAAACAGTAGTTTGAGGGACAGGCCCAAGAACACCTCGACGGCCCACCGAACACCTCCTACCCCCAAAGCGCCGCGGCACCACAAAGCCTTTTGCGGTGACGAAGAGCGATGCCAGGATATGGCGTTCGCACGCGAGTCCGAGGGGAACTTGACGGGAGTTCCCAAAAACTTGAGCCAAACGGCCATTCGGCCGTTTTGCCACTTGATGAAACAACACGTGAACAAAACACAAAAGGAAAATGATCTTCCAGGACCCCGAAACGTCAAGGACCCCGAAACGTCAAGTTCCATGAGAATTGGTGGGATACCGACTAGGTCCTCGAGTAGAGAGGCTAGAACAAGGGTACTTTTTGTTCTTTTTTCCGTAGTCTTAGTAGGGGAACCCTCCCCAAAAACAGAATCGGTCAAAGGGCACTATTGGGAGACCTGGCCGAGGCAACCCTCGGCCTCCAAAGAGCGGCCCTCGGCCATGGCCTCTGCACGCCTGCGCACCAAATTCTCTCAAGTCCCCGGTTTGGACGGCCCAAGGGCGGCTAACCCCGGGCGTCCGGAGTAGGATCATCTTGACCCCACAGTTAATTCATAGGGGGTGATGATTTCCCACTAAACATGGGGCCATGGGGTCATGCAGATATGTCAAGCCAGAATATTCAGGATATTAGTCAAGGATCGTCATGGGTGACGATCAAAGAGCCCCTGTTCGGATTCAACCCCCCGTTTTTGCCTCCTTTTTTTTACCCTGGACACACACGAACCACCGGGTTGAAGTTGGTTGTTTTTCTTGGGGGGGAGACCACAAAATGGCAGGGGGTTGTCCCAATCCTTGGACCGAGCCAGTTTCCGAGGCCCCCGGCTCTCGCTCCAGCTCGCTGCTGGTTTCAGCCAGCCGCTCCTGGCTCAGGAGGCGCCCCGTCCATCCGAGGCGCAGATGTCGCGTGGCGGGGCCCTCCCCACGTGTTCCAAACTTTGGATCCCTTGCAGTGAGCAAAGGGATCCCCATCAATGGGTTTCAGAGTCTGAAAAAAAGGGGGTCTGAAGCGGAGCCTGTATGAATCAACCCCACTGAACCCACGGGCACCCCCTATGAATAAACTGGGGTTGATTAATATAGGGTCAACATTACAGATTTGAAGTCAACACAAGCAGTCAGGGAATCACCGTGTGGCCCTTCCCTGGAGCAAGCTCTGGAAGCAAACGATCCTTGCTTGGCTTGAATGATCCCGACGTGCTTTGGTAGGCTTTTGCTCGAGCTTTTCAGGGCACAAGCATGTTGCCACCAATCCGAACAAGTGCTTCTATTAAACAGACTTGCTCGGCCCTCCCCAAACTGTCAGCTGCCACACCATCAAGCTCAGTGGTATTCCGCAACCAAACGGTCGATTGCGCCTCTGCGGCAATAGCGCCTCAGCGTGACGTGGCGCAAACAAGTGGGCCTGCAGGTTGCTTGTTCACAGAATCAAGCCTTGCCTCTCGGTTCCGTTTTTGCACCCGTGAATGCAAGCAGGCTGTTTGTGTGGTTGTACACGTGTGTTCGTGTGCGCGTGTGGGCAGGCGGGCGTGCATGTGTTGTTGCCGCTGCCGCTGCTGCTGCGGAAGTCGTCCTGTGGTTTTGTCTCCCTGTCCCTTCCTCGCTGCCCCTCTACACCGATTCAATGGCTATGGAAGCAAAACAGACCTGTTCGTTGATTGGCTGTTCCTGGCAAGCCGCTGAACGCTGAGCAGCTTTTCTGAAACATGGGCACCCGACATGGCGGACATCATGGTGGGGATTCATGTCCACCAGCCACTTTTTGAGGTGGATCCAACTCTTAAAATCTATGTCCATATCATCAACGAAACCATGCCCACGGCAAAGTACTCTCCCAGAATGGACCCTTGACCCGTCCGGACCCCTGGCCACATATGCATCTGGTCATGGCAGGTCGCAGAAAGATGTGGCATGATAGAAAAGATAGCCCTCCAATCGTGGGTGCCCATGTCACACCATGCCTACATGAATAAGTATGTTGGAAGCATAGACAATGATTCCAGTAGCCGTACATCTACAAAACCAGCTTGGATGCGTGTTGTGTGGATTTCTTTCCGTTTTTCCCCCTGTTACGGGTATGGTTTTAGTAATTGCTGTTTGTACTCGGGGTGAATCCCCAGATTCGCCACCTCTAAACTTACATTTGCTTAAGACCCCTGGAAACAACAAGTATATTCGAGTAGTGATACATTCCTTTTAAAACCAACAAGGGGAAATAAAACATTTTCCTACCCAGAGGCTCCCGATTGATTTAAGGCCTTCAAACAACCTGGTTTTGAGACCCCCAACCACCTCCGGGGTGTCTAATGGAGGGGTCGGGTCTTCCATTGAAAGGTCCAGGAGCCTCTGGGTAGTGATAAATGCCTTTTAAAACCAACAAGGGAAAATATTTAAAGAAATATGATTTAGCAACTAGAAGCAAACCGTTCCCTGGAATACCTCGATCCGATCGGCGTCAGATCCGCGTCCAGCCGGGCCACGGCTCTCCATCTCGCAGCACTGGCGCTGAAGCTGAAGCCGCTGCTCATCCAGCCTCCAAAGCGTAAGAAACACAAATTAGGTTAACCGCGAGTTTTGCAGGGGACAGGGCTGCAAATTTGGATGGGGAGGACTCCTGCACAAAGCACAGCTCCAGGGGTAATAGCCATTTCCATCCTTTCCAGGGATCCGAGCCTTTCTAGAAAACCACCAAAAACACAGGGGAAATGGCGATCGGCTTTTGACAAGAACGACGGCTGAAAACAATGGGGAATCAACCCCTAGAAACAAATCAAGGCTTACCCAAGACGTGTTTGGTTCAATTGCCATCCGTTTGACGAGTTGGGAAAGGAAGCGCACCCTGCTTGAACTCGGTTCCTGGTGTTCAGGCCCGGAAGCGATAGGAGGAAACCTCGCAATGACTCCCTTCCTTTGGCCAAAAGAGCCCAGCTGGTATGTTTCCAAAGTGACTAAACTCCAGCAACTAAGAACTCAATGCCTGCTTCTGGCCTTTGCAGCGAAGCTTCCACGTCTGCTTGAAATCCTCGTAGCTCCGCCTGGAAAGCAAGCCAGGCCAGACTCCCAAAAAAAAACGGGAAGTCCAGCATGGGGAAGAGGGTTTCACATCCCAAGTGACCAAGTGGGTCCCTTTCCCTTGGAACACGAGCTGACTCGTCTCAGCGCCGCAGGCGCAGCACATGAGCTGAAAGGCGAAGCCGGGCCAAAAGGGTCGCCAAAAGCAACGCTTTTGGCACTGTGCCTTAATTGGGAAACTGGCATGCTCCATGATGCAGTTGGCAGCATGAATAACCCAAAAACGGCAAGCCGCAGCGTCAAGGTTTAACTCAAAGACCTCCCGAAGCATGTCATGAGGCGCAGATGCATCTCGAAACCACTCGCGTGAAAGTTTCCTACACTCTGAGAACATTCAAATCCGACGCTTTGCTTCCTGGAAGGTGCAAGTTGAACTTTCATCGTGGACCACAGAAAGGGTTCGGCCGTCATGAAGCCAGACGTGTGAAACCAAGGCGATGCGCCGTGCCGTCCACCGGGAAAGTGCGCGACATGTCGTGCGGGGTTCGGAGAATTTGCCTTGAACCATCCGCACCAAGGGGAACTGACTGAAACTGGGCGCTGCTCAGGTGATGTTCAAAGCCACCCGAGCCCAAAAACGTTCAGGACCCCTTGGCTGGTGCAACCCAACGCGACGGAAACTGAAAACATCACCTTCCACTAAGACCCCTGGAAAAAAGTTTAAAAACAAATCCAGTAGTGAACAACTCCTTTTAAAACCAACAAGGGAAAATATAGAACATCTTCGTCTCACCAAATGGAAGCCACCGCGGAAGCCATCGGCTCCTCCGCCGCCTGCGCCTTCTGACGGCTCGCTGTGGCCTGCGCCTACCGAGGGATAGGCGGAGGGTTGCGAAATCCTTCACCACCCAAGAGACATGGTTGAACCCGTTCAACGTGTTCGTGGTATTTACAGAATCGAGTCATTCCAAGGTTTCAATCAGGGAATGCCTTCGTCCATCCGCAGTGTTGCAAGAGAGGCAACGAGCAACGGAAATTGTCCAATGTACCGTAAATCACCCACAGTCTGGTGGCTTGTCGTGTGTGTTTCCGGTTTACTTGCAATATGAAGGGGATTTTTGCACATAGCACAAAACGTTTGCAAGTTGGGACCCGGGTGGCATATTCATACTGCATGTGGATGGACACAATCCTGCACCACTTTGGAACCATGGTTGAAACCACTGCCTTTTTTTGTATTCATAGGGGAATCAACTTTTCCTGTAGTCAACATGTTGGTAGGGGAACCCTCCCCCAAAAAAAGTGGCAAAAGGGCACCTAGCTGGGGGACCTAGTTGCCTTCCACCAACGGCCACTCGACGAGTCGAACTCTTTGACGCCACACCTCCGCCTGGGCGTGCTGCAGCTTTGTCTGCCTCAGCATCTCCACCTGGCGACCCCAAAACCTCCATGTGCTTAAGGCCACCGGAAAACAACAAATATGTCCAGTACTGAAATCAATTGCCTTCAAAACCAACAGGGGGGAATCGAACATATGTGGCTGCCCTCAAATCCCCTGCTAAAAGTTTAACTACTAGTGGGTTTATGGAAACTACCGCTAAACACTAAAAAGCTAAAAAGCTAAGGGGATGGCTGGGAGCCACCAAGACATGCTGAAGCAAACGGAAGAAACTGGCCACGGTTTCCTTCCAGCACCCCCCAACTGATGTCCCAAGTCTCTTGGTACTGTCCAAACAGCAGTGATGGGTGCTGGTTGCGGCTTCCCTTTGCAACCAGCAGTGGTTGGGCTTGGTTGACGTTGGAAGGGGAGCAAACATTCAAACTCTTTGGCAGTTAAGTGGGGATTTCCCACTAAACCACAATAAGCAAGATGTAAAATGTTTCCCAACAACAACCATGTGGGGGGGCATGGGCAAACATCTCCGAACGACATCACTTGGAGGCCCTCCGCGACCGCCAGACGAATACTTCCACCCGCCCAGGGATACACAGAAAATAACATTGCAATGTCTCTGTTTCATATTCCAGGTGTGTCTCAAAACAGGGGTACAGTACCCCCATAATGGTGGTTTTTCATTTTGGTTTCCCTTTAAACCCAACCTCACAAGAGGGGTACTCCAAAAACTGTCAGACCCTTAGATTCTGAGACCCTGAAACTCGATCCCTCGCGCCTGGGCTTCCAGCTGCTGTTGCACCACCAGGGTGCCGGATGGCCTGAGGATTGAAAATCCGCGAGCCTAGGGCCCCCCCATGTTTTTTCAAGAGGGGCTCGTAGAACCTGGGGCCATTTCGGTGAGAACCTCTTTTAGAAAGCACTGGTCTGGGTATCGAAGACCAGGTCGCCAAGCCACAAGGCCATGAACGGATCCCGTTTTTGAGAAACCGAGTCGAAGGCAAGGACATTCTCGACCAAATTCCAGCGAAATCGGCAAATCTGAATCCACAAGGTTGAGTTCGTCACCTGGAAAGAAAGAGCCCAACCTCAATAACCGGCGATGTGCACTAGGCTGGAATTAGGACCCCAGCAAAAAAGTATCTTTTTTGCCTGGTGAGTGGAAAACAAAGGGACCCCCAAAAAAGCAAAAAAGCAAAAAGGGGAGCTAATTCTGAAGTGCAAAGGTACCCCTTTTGGAAGATACCGTGTGAAGGAGCTAGTGCTCTGTCATGCGAATACGTGTGCAGATATTGACTTGCAAGATTTGCCCAGGAACCCAGCAGCCAGACTAACAACTGCGTGCAGTTTGGCTTGGCTAAGTTGCGTCTGGTCAAGCAGGTCCCTGTCTGAACCAAACATGCGAACCCCAAAATGGTGTTCCCCAATCCGTAACAAATGGGGGTTGAACAACCGCTGGACATAGGGCTTACCGGACCTTGGTAGAGAGCGAGAGAGAGTCTGAGATGGAGAGTACATGGTGCAGAATGCCCATCCCCCAAATCTCGGAAAGACCAAGCATTATAACTCCTGCTTCCACTTAGCATTGAACACATCTACTCCCTGCTTGCTTACCAAATGTCACTAAGCAGTCATACCAATCTACCCATCACAAGCGCAACACCCAAGGTCAGAGCTCCCTGGCCCTCCTACACGTCAACTGGCAATGCAGAGCCAGAACCAACTCCCAGTGTTGATCAGGTCTACCCAAAAGCTTGTAAACTATCTTCCACTTGCTTAAGCCCCCGGAAAAGATGTCTCCAATAGTGATAGATTCCCTCTACTTTCGACCTGGGGAACTATGAAATATTCTTAATCCGATGCAAGATATATGAAACATGGCGGCCGCTGGGACTCTCCCCAAAAAACCTTCCACGACCCAGGGATTGAGCGCAGCCGAGACGTCCTCACAGACGCAGCTCACCGAAGTTGGGGAAGGTTGGCTAGAGTGTACGTGCCAACTGCTTTCTGTCATCTTTGGCTGGATTTGGGTGTAGTCAAAGAAAGCATGGGAGTATTTTTCCACCCTGGAGAACTGGACGAACTGCACAACTTGCAAGCTTCATGTGTTCAACGAAAAGCTTGAGAGTTTCTGCAGGAGGAAACAGGAGGTGACTCGCCACCGAAAGAGCGCACCTCCACTTTGGGAGCTTTCTCCTTGCGCAGGAATTAAATAGAGTAAACTATAGTAAACTCCACCGTGGGTCATTAGAAGGGACATGAGGTGGTCACCTTGTCTTCCGCAGACGACCCTGCAGACTACCAGCTCACGTGCCCAAAGCAGCTGGACGTGAAACACTCAAGCTTTTGGGCATCCGGTAGGCACTAGCAGGGCAGGTAGGCAAGAGCCCTAAGGGTTCCTTCGGGTTCCTTAAGGGTTCCCTAGGGTTCTTTAGGGTTCCTTGGGGTTTCCTACAGAGTTCTTAGGGAACCCCCCTACCCCCCCCCCCCCCCATAGGGACTCCATCATCAGATCCCTTCGCCCGCGAGTTGTTTGAACGGGGCCCCGGGCCCTTGCTCCAACTCTACGATGCGCTGGTGCAGGGTCTAGGCGAACCATGTGAGTCACTTGCTCAAAACCCGGTACACAAACGGGTATTACCACATGGGTTCCATGTTTGGGTATTACCCCAAAAACGGACTTCAGTCATAATCAAAACCTGGTATTCAAACGGCGAACCCTGATTTCTACGTAAAGGATAAAGAAGGCGGAATTCCGCACCTATCTATGGTTGGGGTCGCCCCTTACTAACCTTCATCTACTTTTGGTTTTGATTGTGACTCATGCGGAAATAAACCACATCATGGTGGACAACAACATCTCCTTGGGGGACAGCCGTGATGCGCCAGATCGCGTCCAGCGGGCCTCCCAAATTGATCCAAGGGCAATGGAAGACCTTCACCGAACCAGCTCGGACGTGTCCCTGTGGCTTCACTTTGAATACCCAACAAAACACAACGGGCGATTTTCGGAAGCCCCAAGTGGTGAAAGTTGCCTTCTGAAATCCTAGCCCGCCAACTCCGAAGGGAGGCACCATAGCCCAAGCCAAAAGACCCTGCACCCCAAACGCCAGGTTTTCCTTTGATTGAAGAGTAGATGAATCCATCAGTGGTGCTACTTTGACTTGGGCTCTTGTTGCAAGAGACAGGACAGCAAGGTGTGGAAAAAATGCTGCTAGGAAGCGCAAAGCTACAACCTGCACTGATTCACTTCAGTATACTTGTTGGCCGCGGCGAATATGTCCACATCTATTCCAACCTAACCTGACGGAACCAAATACTTTTAGAAACTTGCTCTAATGGAACCATCCGCGCCATGCTTGCAACACGCCGCAAGTGGGGACTGATTGAGACATACCCAAACCCTAGTAGCTGAATTTGGTCCTGACGGGAATAAACGAAACAACTTGCTGACTCAACAAAGTCAAGTAGAACTAAAACGTCTAAACCGCTCCAAGCGCAACATGCTCGAAGCCCAAAATGGTCGTTAACCCCAAGAAGCAAAAAGCAAAAAGAGCAAAACACGCTCCAACTCCTGGAAGTCTTTGTTGCGGACCCCTTGGCGCCCCTCAACTCCTGTCCACCTGTCCGCCGCTCGCCAGAGCGTGCGAGTCCGGCCGTCTGTCCGTGGGCCCCCGGCGCGGTTCTCGGCCACCAGCTCCTGGCGCGCCGCCTCCACCTGCTGCGACACCTCCTCCCGGACCTCGCGATCTGCGGTAACGCGGGGGACGACGCGACATCCATGCCGCGCGCGTGGCAACGACGGTTTGGGGGGGCCACCGGTTCCAAGTGGGGCCTCGGTTTAAAATATGTATGCATTTTGATTTTCAGGGTACTCTATATCATAGAATGTATCTCTATAAATAGTCTTTGCTTACTTTTGACCTATTTTTATCCAACAAGCATGTCGGAGGTCTTCACACTTAGTCGCAATCCACCTAGTGATATGTGGTCTGCCCAATTCTAATTTGAGCCAACTCACTCAGACTTAGCCAAGTACCAACTTATGAGCTGTTGGCCAAGCAATTGAACTGCCAGCTGCATTTGGGAAAACTGTACATGCCATAAGAAGTCCTTAGTTGTCCTTAGCACATTGTTGTGGTGTTTGGTTCAAGGCTCTGATCGACTGGAGGCTAGCTCATCTTTTTGCCTCTTGGCTTCTCCAGTCGAAGCAAGCTTCAACTCTTTTTCCCCCAGAGTTTTCGCCCCTCGTCCAGTCTCCTTCGCGAGAAAAAAAGAAAAAGACAAAAACAGCATCCTTCAATTCTCCTCGCCCCGCTCCCACATAAATCATCCCTTTGGAACCCAAACAAGGAGACAAGGGGCTCTTGAGGGGTCACTGGATTTCCCCAAATCCAAAGTTGATCAACTTGCTGGTGGTTTCCCTCAAAACGATCGCCCCTTTTGGAGGTTCCCTTTAAGAGGGAAATGGCTGTTGAAACTTTGGAGACCCCAAATAATCGATGCCTTTTAAGGGACCCCCCAAAAGAACAGACCCACTTGATTAATCCAAAAACAATCGAAACAAACACCTCTCCCCTTGACACGGCGTTTCACTTTTCACGGCCTGCTTGAGGCGCTCCAGTCGCTCGGACTCCGCCGCCAGCTCCCTGAGCTGCCTGAGTGGTTGAGACCCCAGCGCGGAGTACGGGTGGCGCGTCGGGCTTTGTTGGAGCTGGTGCCCAAGTTTGGGGCCTTGAGCACGTGTTTGACGTGTTTTTCTTTAGTTTTGAAGGGGAACGACGTGTTGTATGTTTTCGCGCTTTTGCTTGTGGTTTTCAAGGTAAGCACGTGTTTGACGTTCTTGTTTGTTTTTTTCTCCTGTAGTTCTGGAGGGGAACCACTTCTTGGTTTTTCGTGGTGTTCAAGGGGGTGTTCAAGGGAAGCCAAGAGGACACCGAAGCACGTTTTGGGGGGCTGCGGTTCAAAAACAAAAACAATCGAGCCACCCGGTTTCTGGATACGTACAAGAAACCCCTTGGGTTCTTGGCAGAGGGTCCACAAAATGGCCGGTGATTGGACCAGGAAGTTGAGACCCACAGCTCCAATTTGTTTAGATGAATGGTAAGGGGTCATAGGCGGGTCCTTGGCCAGAGGCGACAATAAGCTCCAGAACCCACGTACACACATCTGAACAGATCAGATCCGATCCACAAGCGGCCGTTGCGTGTGCTTGGCTTGAAAAACTAAAAGGAAAGCCACCTCTATGTTTTATTTGTTTATGTCTTTGCTTATTTATTTATGATTTATTTTTTGGGGAAGGGGAGTCTCCTGACAACAGACAGACCCAGATACTTCAAGGCATTAGGCCTACATGTCATCACTTTTTGAGAATCCAGGCCGTGAGTGTGACTTGCAGCCAAAGCAGGCCCAAAGAAAATACCATCAGCTAAAGCATCTACAATGCAGCCCTCGATCAAACATGCTTGAACCGAGTTTGGTGATTGTTGTTGATGACAATGCTCTTGCTGCTGCTGCTGCTGCTGCTGCTGCTGCTGCTGCTGCTGCTGCTGCTGCTGCTGCTGCTGCTGCTGCTGCTGCTGCTGCTGCTGCTGCTGCTGCTGCTATTGTCTGTTGCTCTTGCTGCTCACCAGGCTGAGTTGGCCTTGTGACTTGTCCGATTGTCCAGCGGCCTGAGCATATACAAAGGCCAACTTCTGGGAGCAGCAATGCTTTCAGGGCTCCGCCAGAACATGCCCACTCCTCAACGCAAGGCGCCCCTTTATCTTGTGCTTTGCACTCAATCTCACTGCGAACGCATAGCCTTTCGGCCGGCCTCTTTGACTTTGTCTCGAGCTTTATCTCAAGTAGATCACACAACTACAACCGCTGAAGCGTGCATCAACCACACCCGTTGCAAATACCTGATTGCTAAAGGGCATCCCTCTTTTTTTTTGAAGAGCAAACGACATCTGTATAGTACTAAGCAACAAAGAGTTGTGGCTGCCCGTTTGTGGAACCCGACAATTATAACAGGAACGAACCCAAGGGGCTCACACCAGTGGGGCCAGGCTGGGCAATGGAGTACATTCAATGCACCCTGTGGCTTACAACCTAAATGGTCAACCACTTCGCCGAAGATTCAAGTTGGAATCCCCCAACCCGCTTCGCCCAGGTCCCGGGATATCCCAGGATTTTCCCCCATTGAGGCTCCCCGCTGTTCATCGCCCCACTCCTGAGAAGCAAAAGGTGAGCGAGCCGCACTTGACTGACTTGGACTGCAGTTAGGTTTTCGCTCAGGTACAATTCTAGAGGTACCTTCCATTTCCATTCTTTCTAGGGATCCTTCTTTCTCGAAAACTTGCAGAATCCAAGGGAAACCGCTGTTTTATTGAAAAGAACGATTGAAAAGAATGGGAACCAAGCCCTAGAACAATTAGGACAATGGTCCAGATCAAACACTTTCATTCCAGATCCACTCTCGAGCCCCAGCCATTTTGGCAATAATCAAAGTCTCTGCCTCGCCAGCTCACCGTCTACCATCCCGAGGTGTCCCGAGTACATCTTAGTTGACGTTGGAAGGGGAGCAAAATAATATGTTTTAGCAGTTTCCCAACAACAACCATGACATGAGATTCAATTTGGCCAAAGCGTGTGATTCAGCCACAAGTCTGTATGCCGCAAGAAAGCTGAAGCCGACCCAAGCAAACACCAGGCCTCAAATGATGCAGGAAACCCACCCTTCTGTCACTCACATGTAATAGGGGGGGTCCTGGAAGACCATTTGCCTTTAAGACACACCCGCAATGGACAAAGACCCCATGGTTGAGGAACATAGCCGAGTATTCGGTGGTACCAAAGTGGTTTACTGCCATCATTGTTGTTTGTTCATTTCCCTTGTCACACAACCGGGCCTACCACAACCATGATAGACCCCACGAGAATGATTCTAATGCTGGCCCTGGCCACCTCAGGCTCTCCAACCGTTGGAAAAGGAACAATCTGCATGGGCGATGGTGCATCCCTGTGTCAGAAGAGAGTTGCATCCCTAAGCGGACTTTTCAATAATTTACACGGCACTGGCACCTGGCAACGAGCCTGAAATCAGTGATGAAACATCTGAACCAAAATAAGCAAACAAGACCACCTATGCTCTCTCCTAGTTCACCTACAGTTGGCTAGAACCCCCCCACAAAAAATAATAATAATACCAAAACAAAATGCACCTATGGCTTGCATCCCGTTGACCGTGGCGCGCACTGGCTGTCCCGGTTCAGTGCTCCTTCCAGCGCTCCAGCATCTGCCGGGCTTCTTCCGCCTGGGAATGGATGGATCCAACGGGTGTGGTTCCCTTTTCAGATACGGATGCCCCATGCTTCCTCGACTATTCTGAAAAAATAGCCTCGACCATTGAAATAACGACAGGCTAGAAAAGTAATGTTCGACCATTGAGACGGCTCTTAAGCCTAGGGGATGGGTTGACGTTGTCCAAACATTCGCGACCCAACCGTGGGGCACAATGCAAGAACACCAACCCACCCAGTTTCTGACACCCAGTACGGTAGCCTTTCTTTGGTGGCCTTGAAGGGAAATCAAAGAACCCTGCCCCCCATTTGTGAAAGCCCAAAGAAGCAACAGCACATCCGCAACTCACAGCTGGAAGCGACGCGACTTTTCTCTTGCCAGAGTTTTGTTCGCCCGGGCGGCTCTAATGTGCCTCTCCGGCCCTGGTTGCCAGGTGCCGGTTTTAAAGGCTCGAGTGTGAGACCGTGGCTTACTGGTTCACGAGTTTGCTGGCGTAGTCCGTGCTGCTCCTCACCTCTGCCAGGTGTGTGGACAACAGCGAGACCTTGTGCCGCAACTGACTTTGCCTCTGCCGCAGGGCACCGAAGCTTCTCTGAAGCTCGAGCAAACAAACCTTGGGCTTGCTGGGCTCGACCGGGCGCTTGGCTCCGTCCGCCTCCTTGGGCCCTGTGCACTCATCTGGAAAAAACTCGCTGGCCGCTGGCAGTTGTTTCACTCGATCTGGCATGGTTTCCATGTCCGAGGGGCGGGACTTTGAGTTCACAGCTTGCATGTCTGACGAACTGGGCTTTGAGTCGACGGCGTCCATGTCTGGCGGACTAGGCTTTGAGTCCACAGCTTGCATGTCTGACGGACTGGGCTTTGAGTCAACAGCTTCCATGTCCGAGGGGGTGGGCTTTGAGTCCACGGCTTGCGCGTCTGACGGACTGGGCTTTGAGTCGACAGCTTCCATGTCCGAGGGGCTGGGCTTTGAGTCCACGACATCCGTCTCTGCCGGGCTGGGCTTTGAGTCGACGGCGTCCATGTCCGAGGGGCTGGGCTTTGAGTCCACAGCTTCCATGCCGGACGGGCTGGGCTTTGAGTCGACAGCTTCCATGCCGGACGGGCTGGGCTTTGAGTCGACAGCTTCCATGTCCGAGGGGCTGGGCTTTGAGTCCACAGCTTGCATGTCTGACGGACTGGGCTTTGAGTCGACAGCTTCCATGTCCGAGGGGCTTTGCTTTGAGTCCACGGCTTGCGCGTCTGACGGACTGGGCTTTGAGTCGACAGCTTCCATGTCCGAGGGGCTGGGCTTTGAGTCCACAGCTTGCATGTCTGACGGACTGGGCTTTGAGTCGACAGCTTCCATGTCCGAGGGGCTTTGCTTTGAGTCCACGGCTTGCGCGTCTGACGGACTGGGCTTTGAGTCGACAGCTTCCATGTCCGAGGGGCTGGGCTTTGAGTCCACAGCTTGCATGTCTGACGGACTGGGCTTTGAGTCGACAGCTTCCATGTCCGAGGGGCTTTGCTTTGAGTCCACGGCTTGCGCGTCTGACGGACTGGGCTTTGAGTCGACAGCTTCCATGTCCGAGGGAGCTTTTGAGTCTTCCATGTCCGAGGGGCTCCACGACATCCGTGTCTGACGGGTTGGGCTTTGAGTCGACGGCGTCCATGTCTGACGGACTAGGCTTTGAGTCCACAGCTTCCATGCCGGACGGGCTGGGCTTTGAGTCGACAGCTTCCATGTCCGAGGGGCTGGGCTTTGAGTGCACATCTTCCACGAGCTTGGAGTGTGCCTCTCTGCGTGCCACTCGCAGAAGGATTCTGGACGAAAGCAGGCAGCACGCCTCCCACATCTCCTGGTTGCTGCTGTCAGTCGTCGACTCCTGGCCAGTTTCCGCTGAGCACTCTTGAGGGCATGGCTCCATGTCTTTGACTCTGGGCTTTGGCCGTGGCACCGCTGGGCTTTTGCCTTGCGGAGGTGATTCGACAGCTTCCACTGGCCTGGAGTGTGCCTCTCTGCGTGCCACTCGCAGAAGGATTCTGGACGAAAGCAGGCAGCACGCCTCCCGCATCTCTTGGTTGCTGCCGTCAGTCGGCATCTCCTGGCCAGTTGCTGCTGGGCTCTCTTGAGGGCATGGCTCCATGTCTTTGACTCTGGGCTTTGGCCGTGGCACCGCTGGGCTTTTGCCTTGCGGAGGTGATTCGACAGCTTCCACTGGCCTGGAGTGTGCATCTCTGCGTGCCACTCGCAGAAGGATTCTGGACGAAAGCAGGCAGCACGCCTCCCGCATCTCCTGGTTGCTGCCGTCAGTCGGCATCTCCTGGCCAGTTGCTGCTGGGCTCTCTTGAGGGCATGGCTCCATGTCTTTGACTCTGGGCTTTGGCCGTGGCACCGCTGGTCTTTCGCCTTGCGGAGGTGCTGGCCTTAGGTCAGCCGCGGTTTCTGCCAGAAGCCCGCGGAGAGTCCCGTCTTCGGCTGCAGCAGACAGCGCAGCCCGCAGCTGTCGCCGGGCTTCTGCGAGACGCTCAGTACCTGGAAACGGATCTCACCGCCAGCAAAAACTTTCCAGTTTCTTGTTGAAAGGAAAATGACGGAAACCCAAGGGCATGTATATGTATAATGGGGGGTGTATTTGTTTGAGGGTACCACTTGTTTGTGGTTCTACAGGAAAACCGAAAGGAACACGAACACGGCCATTTTGGAGGTACCCCAACAAAAGACACACCCACATGGCCATGGGTCAAAACCCCGTACCCCCAGTGAACATCCCAATCCCCACTGCAAATAGGTTCTACAATGGGTGGTGAATTCACCTATGCCAAAATGGGATCCCATTGGTTTTAACCCACAGCCACATTAACATTAAGTCTGGCCATGTTACCTCTCTCACTCTCCTTTTGCTCCTTCTCCTTGTCGCCTTGGCCGCCTAAGCTGCGGGTCTGCGACTCGATGACTTCGGCCATGGCCTCCAGCCAGCGCGGAAATCGCTCAGAGGACCTCTCCAGCGCCTCGCAGATCTCCTTGGTTGACGTTGGAAGGCGAGCAAAAAATAAATCTTAGCAGTTAAGTGGGGATGTCCCACTAAACCACAATAAGCAAAAATGTAAAATGTTTCCCAACAACAACCATGTCTCATCCTTCAAATCCGCAGAGGGCAACGTCCAAGGCTCCGCGTCCGGAGTGCGCGGAGTGCGCGGATCCGGCGGAGGCGGCGGCGGAGTGCGGGCAAAGTTCAGCTGCTGCCACATGTAGCCGTAGGGGTCCTCAGGCTTGTCCTGCACCAAAGCCTCCAAGAGGCCTTGGAGGTATTGCAGCACCGCGTGCTGCTCCAAGTATTCCTTGGCATTCAGAGCTGCATCCCTCCGCTTGATCTGTGGCAAGTCCATGCCCGCGTCACATCTCGCCGAGGCACCGTCTGGCGAAACTGACAACGTCAATTGAGAAGCCTTGGTTCGTTGACCCCAAAAGCAAAGATAAGACAAACATCACGGGATGTGCCACAAATCCAAAGTAAAAAACTTTCGCGGGATGCGCCAATTAAACAAAAAAACAACAACTCACCAAACAAGAATATCTCTGAACATTCTCTAAAGGTCGAAGGAACCCTGCTGAAAAAACCAAGAAGCTTCGCCAAATGAGACCTGATACCGGTCCTGGCCATGCTGATACACTACTCGCTGGCTGCCCACTTCCTTCAGTAAGTCTACCTTCAACTCCTCCCCCGCGAGGAGAGGCCTCAGCGAAATAGAACTCAAAGAGACCACCCTTTCATCTCTTTGGTGTTGGTGTAAACGGACTCCATTCCGCAAAGACGTTTTTTTGCTTTCAAGCGCGTCTCTTGCTGTTGTCTGGTTTCCAAGAAAGCCCTTCCCGGAAAAAGCACAAGAGTTCTTGGTTGACGTTGGAAGGGGCGCAAAAAATATATGTTTTAGCAGTTAAGTGGCTGGATTTCAACCGTACTAAACCACAATAAGCAAAACTGCAAAAAAAATGTTTCCCAACAACAAGCATGGAGTGGTTTTTCGCGCAGCCGGGCAGCTCTGGGAACTTCAAGCTGCGGTTTGCCAGGGCGGCCGTGGACGCCTGGCGCCGGCATCCTCCCAGGCGCACCGAGAGGATGCCCTTGGGCAACGGTTCCAAGACACGAACCTCCATGGCCGACACGTGAGTCACTCGCTCAAAACCCGGTAGTAAAATGGCGGAAATCCCGGAATGCTTCAAAAATTAAGAAGGCGGAATCCCGCAGCTATTTCTGGCTGGGACTGCCCCTTACTAACCTTCATCTACCCGGGTTTTGATTGTGGCTTACGTGTGCACCGCTCGGCACGCAGCTCTGGCGGCGCGTGTGACAGCCAGCTGGAACCAAGGATGTGGATTACCACGAAACCAAGAGGCCGTGCCTCCGAAATCTGTGCGGGGCCAAAGTATTTTCGTAAACTTGTCCCTGCGACATGAAATACGGAGGGATGATGGCAATCGACTGGTTTGTTGCTTGATGTTGCTTGCATACAGCAACATGATGGCACAACATGGTATACACTGAACCTGGCAATAAGATCAATTCTGTCATGGCAATGGTTGTGAGCGGCTTGAAAAATCCTGCAGCATGAAACGGGTGTCTTTTTCTGGCGGACCCCCGAAATGGTGGTGTTCCTTGTGGTTTCACAGTGGTTGTCCGTTCGTTTCCCTTTGAAACCACACAACTAATAGGCGCGCTCTAAAAATCGCGTTTTCCTTTGGTCTTCCTTTAACACAACACGACAAATAGGTGCCCTCAACACAAAAAACACATGAACATGGTGGTTGTCCATTCGCTTCCCTTTGAAGCCACACAACAAATAGGTGCCGACTCAAACAAAAACACACAGCCAACTGCTGGCGTCAGCTCGCGACGCATCGCTCTCGGCCGCGGCCGCTTTCTCTCCCGCCTCGGCCTCTGCCTGCAGAGCTCGGGCTTCCAGCTCGTCGTTGGAGCCCTCGGTTGGGCGAATTTCGACGTGGGAGTTGATCAAAAGGTCCTTTACATAGGATGACCATCGGGGAAACCGCCGAACAAGTTCACTTTCGCCACTTCATGAGAAAAGTTACCCATGGTCATTTGGGGGCCAGATGATAGATCAACCCCCAGATGGCTGTCGGTCACACATGGGGTAACCCCAAAATGGGTTGCCCTGGAACATGGAAACGACAACTAACGCCTGCGATCCCATGATGGTTTAAGTTTGAGCCATACCCATTTGGGTTTATCAACCTAGTGGCCTCTATGGGTGTGTGAACAAATCAAGAGCTGACGTTCCCATAGAGGAAATACACGGGCTCCTTGGTGGAGACCAAGGCTCCTTCGTTGTGTGAGTCGTACACTGCAAGTCAACATGCCAAAAAAGCAATGGGGGAAACTCTGGTTTAAGTCTACCCTGGAATGCAGGAACCGTTTTGAGCCCTGAGTAAACCACTCTATCGCCACAAGAAAGACCTTGAAGTCCACATGTGAGGGGACCGTTCTTTGGGGAGGTTAGGAAGCCTCCGACATAGATATGTTGCCAGGTCACACCTGATTAGTGGCTCAATGGTTGGCCGGGGGTAGCAGTTGCCACATCAAGCCCCATGAATTGTGGTTGCTAGAATCGAAGACTGGCATGAATGCAGCGTTTATGGGTAGGCTTTGGAACCCCACTCCACTTACATACCCAAATCAGCTTGGAAAAGCTCGGCTTAACTTGAGGTCACTACACACGGACCAGAAACGGGTAAACTAAAACAATGTCTATTCGCCGTGAAAAGGTTTTATCGGAAAGGGCGCTCAGCTTGTCGCAAGAGGAAGCCAAAGAGATTCCGTGTAAGGCGTCCTTGGAGAAGGATAGCACCAATCTTGAGAGTTTCAGTGTTCAATCCAGAAGCCCACGGAGGAAGACAAAAGGCTTCCAAGAAATGATGTGTCAACACTTCATAGAAGGTACTGTAAAAAAATCTCAGAGCCTTTGAGGAAGCAAGTCCGGGTTCCAATGTCTTTCTTGGCTTCGCAAATAACAGGACCAAACAAAGACAGCAAACCCAAGCCAAACATCACAAGTCATACACTTCGCCCACAGATCCGGGCGTTTTATATGAATTCTTACCTCGTCACCTCGTTTCCTATCTTTTTTTCAGGTTTAGTGCCTCGCCTCGTTACATCTGGCTTGGGTTTTAGCACCTCGTCTCGCCTCGCCTCGCCAAATGTCTGCTTTGGAATTAGGACCTAGCTTGTCTAGCCTTGCAACAACGCAGCATAAGGGAAAGGAAACACCCTCAGCGCGGACGTAGCCTGGCCGGGGGTTCGAAGCGTTCCAAAAGCGTCAAACAGTACAGTTCCATCAACAACGTTTCGAGGTTTGAAAAGTTGATTTCTAGCCGCAAGGTTTTTTTTTCGCGTGTCAAAACAGGAATCAATTGTTTGGGGCTCGAAAAAATGATTTTCTGTCTCGAGCCTTTTCGGGTTTCAAAACAAGTGATGGGTTGTAAGGAAAGACTCAATGAGTTTCATTCCGGCTCGAAAAGTTTATCCAAGCCCGGGCCGTTCCAAGGGCAAATGAATTTAAGCCCCAAAAACAACTTTCCGGGGCTGGAAAAGTTGATTTGTATCCCCGAAAGCTTGAGCAGAAGCAGCCCTAAAGAAAGGGCCGCGCACCAAGAATCGAACCTGCAAAAATTTATGTCCTGCCCGCTGAGGCAAATCTAAGGGGGTTTTGTCATATTTTAGCTTTCTGGATAAAAACCGCCCGAAAAAAAGTGATTCCAAAAACAATTCTTGTGGCTCAAGCAGTTGTATTTCCAGCCGCGCTTTTTAGAGACTCCCAAAGCTGGTTATCCAAGCTTCGGGGCTCGCTCCGAGGCCAAAAACGTGAAGTCCCAAAATCAACTTTTCGGGGCTCGAAAAGTTGACTTTCAGTCTCGAGCTTTTTAAGGTTTCAACACAAGTGATGGGGTGTAAGGAAAGACTCATTCCGGCTCGAAAAGTTGCTTGTCGAAGCCCGGGGCATCGTTTCAAGGGCAAAAAATGAAGTCCTAAAAACAACTTGTCAGGCCAGGTAATTGCTTTTGGAAGAGATCAAAGGGAACCCCACCAAAATACTGGGCACTCCTTTATTTCTACTAAATCACCTCGTCACCTCGTTATTTCCCCAAACAAAATGTAGTGAGCTCGGCTGGGCTCGTTCCAAACGCGCAGACAGATTACACCAGTAAAGTTGGACACCCCAAAAAAGTTTGATCCTCAACTGAGTTTCTCTCAAGGGAGGAACCATCAAAGCCTTTAGGTTCCAAACAACTACCCCAAAGAAAGGTACCTTTCCAACCATGGAAGTGGACAACCGCATGTTGGAAAACACTTGTGAACACCTGGGTTTGTCTCAAAGGATTTGGAACCCACAAAGCAAAAGTTAATTATTTTCTTCGTTTCACCACTAAACAACCCAAAGCTGGGCCTTCTCAAAGGCAAAGCAAACGCAACACGGGCACCGACGTTCACAAAATGCCACGCCCGATCAGATCTGAGGCATTGGCCCCTTTCGGACAGTTGCGCTCCACCTCCAGGGCAAGCCTCGCGCATTTCTCCTCAAAGCGCGCGAAAGCAAATCGGGAAGCCAATTCGTTGGGATAGGGTTTCAAGACATGGGGAAGCGACAGTTGCAATCATTGCAAAGGGCCCATGTTTAGGAGAAAGTCACAACTGGGAACCACTAGACACAAGATGAGAAGGCATCCTTTGCGCTGCTGAAGGCCTTCTCCTGATACTCTGCCGCCAGCTTCTCCATTGCCTCTCCACTCTGCACCAGGAATTCTGGAATTTCCAAGAGGGTCACTCCGCAATGGATGGTTTGACTGCCTGTTGACTAACAGCTTCCCGTTGCCATAATCTTAAAAACAAGGATTGGCGATTGGCCATGGAAGAAAACATGTGTGCAGAACAAGGGAGGTTCAGCAAAACCGCAGCAAGCAATGCCTCCTCTAATTCTTTCTAAACAGATGTGGCTTGACGGTCGCTAAGGATCCCTTAAAATCTGAAACTTCAAGGTTGTGCGAGTTGGTTGAGGGTACCGTGTGTGGGATGGATTCAATCGGAAACCACAAAAGACAAGTGGCATTTGGATCTGTCTTTTGGAGCGTACCCCTTTTTGGATGGTTTTCAAGGGACACCTGCGAGGAAACCGAAGCCCATTTGAGAGTAAATCCTATGTTGAGCCACACCTATTTTAGGGTTCACTTTCACGTCTGGACCATAACACTGAAAGCTCAGGGCTATTCATCACCCTGGACAAAACCGACGACTAACGAACCAAAGAGATCCAAACAAGGTGAAACAAAAAGGTTATGTCGGTGTTCAAAGGACCGGGGGTCACTGGAGTTCCAAAAACAGCTGCACATTTTACTGGTGGGATCGATTGAAATCGTCAAAAGTGAGGTCCAAAAAAAGGGAAACTGAGAACCCCCTCACAATCAGCAGCCCCCGGCAACTGCTTCTTCCCATGTCCCAAATCCCCTTGGTACTGGCCAAAATCCTGTTGGGACCCGGGTGCTGGTATTCTCCGGTTTTTGAGTCGAACATCAGCGACTGCGTTCAATCTGTGCGCCTGCCTCGCTGCGCGCCTTCTCTTCTTCCAGGTCTTTTGTGAGCACCTCAGAACTTCTGACCCAAACACCTGGATACTATGGGAAATGGTGGGCACCCGTTTCTTGGTTGCTGTAGAAGGGAAGCCTGTTTTGTTTCACCT